CAAACTGAACTTGTATCTTATTGTACTGTACACACACACACACACACACACACACACACACACACACACACACACACACACACACACACACACACGAGCTTTAACTGTGATTGAAACCAAGAAAAAACAGGAAAATATCTAAACACTTTTAAAGATGAAATGGAGTGATTTACAGCTTACTCGTCTTTTCTTAGCCTGTGCCTTGATGCTTAATAGCTTTAGTCGATATATTTGATTGACATTCCTGTTTAAATTACTTGTTTGATTAAAGACTTCTTTCAGTACTGAAGCACATAACATCTTCCCTACCACCCATTGCCCGCAGTCTGGTAGATGTCAGAGTGCGTGAGAGTTATTTCACCTCACAATCCCTAACAAGCTTAGTAATTCAGCAACAGTCAAACGCAGATATAAACTATTGATCTTTGTCTGGCGCAGGCGTTAGAGATATGAGCCTTAATATCACCGCCTCTCATTCTGCCTGCCCGGCTTCCATAAAGTTGAGCGTCTAACCACAGAAGCAGACCTCGCTCTCTCATAAGCCCCGCGGTGAGCTTGATATAGCGGCGGGTTCACAGGTGTCATTTCTCCGCTAAGTACTCCAAACACCGACGCGATCGTTTCCGTGCCCTGCGCGTATTTTAACAACCGGCGGCGAGGCTTTTGTGAGCCACGCTCAATCCTCCCTTTATTGACCATTTAAGCTCCTCGCTCGCCGCCATCTGAAAGGCTCCCGTATAACAAAAGCAGCGGGTTTCTGCGGCTGGAAAGCTGCCGTCTCCCTGAGCCCATGGCCGGTGTTTAACGCACGATAACAAGCAGAGGTGGGTCGGTGTTACGCGCGCCCACAACAGTAAAGAAGAGGAAGGCTTTCAGCACCGCGGACAGCTCCTGTGTGCACCTTTCAGCACATGACGCTAACACGTCAGCCGAAACAGCTCGCACTGTCTTTTTGTCTTTTTTTTTTTTTTTTTTGAAACTTGGGTCCTGCAAAAGCATCCCTCCCCGGAAACCATCACAAGACCACTTGAACACTCCCCTCCTCCTTCCCCTCCTCCATTCCGTCTTGGGCTATATCCTCCAAAATACCAACATCACTGAGAGTAGACAGGGAGAGAGACCAGACACCCCAGAGAAGTGTCAGGCTGGTAAAATGTGAGAACACTCCGTCTTTCTCGCTTCAGCAAACGAGCGTGTCCGAAACTCTCCTCCCTTTTCCCGGAGGGGGGTTGATGTGAACGCACAGGGCTGCGTTGGCTTCTCGTCACACGCTCGCCAAGACCTCGCACATATTCAATCGTGACGGATTCGTCCCTTCGCTCCACCACTCCTGTTTAAGATTCCGCAGTTGACAAGACGGCGCCTTGCCCTCCCCGCCTCTCTCATCAGACTTATTTTGCGCCGAAAACGGGATTCTGTCCGCTTTTCTTTGGGATTCGACCAAGTTTTCCCTTCCGAGGAGTTTTACAATGACAGCTACCAAGGAGCAGCCGAATCAGAGACAGAATCAACCGCAGCAGGATGAGGTGGGCAACTGGCTTTTTCTTTTGACTTCCACTTTACCCTTGTGCTTTATGTTAAACTCTGCGGGATAACCTGTTCCGCAGCCCGTTCTAGCTTTAGGGTTTAAGGTCTGCTGAGAGGCCACCGCTGTGGCCACATCCACTAAGTGAAATGTGTAAAAATTCAGTGGCCGATCGGCTCCCCCTATCAAGCAGCATCAGCTTTCTGTGCAGATAATGAGGCTGTGGCTCCAGTGCGAAGGGGCTCATTCAAGTTGGGTGCTGCACGTAGCAGCGTCGAATTAATCGTGTCGTCGCCAGCTGTGCGCGGAGCTTATTGTCAACTGTCAGGACTGGGTCACAGAAAGCTTGAACGCCGTGGGCACACGCGCTGTCAGTGAATGGGGAGAGATTGAGAGAGGAGCACTGCAGCTTGGGCGCATTGTAATTCAGCCGTTGCCTCCTGTCAGCTGCCCCCGACACCTTGAAAGAGAACAGTCCTGGAAAAATCACTTTATAAGCGTGGGGAAAAGAGCGCAATGTGCTTATTTTTCTATCTGCAAGACGCACATCAGCTCTACCTGATGTTCTCATCAGCTCATTAGCCTGCAGGGGTTAAACGTTCTCGGTTTGGCACCTTCACACAGGTGGCGTTGCGCACTGCAATGCTTTTTTTTTCAGGGCAATAAGATCAAGACTGCAACTTGACAACCACGCACGTGGGTTTGCGCCAAACCGCTGAGGCTAAATCAGCTGCAATTAATGATCACCATCAGTTTTCTATTCATCCATCAGTTTGCTTTTCAATTAAAACAAATGAACAGTTCTATGAATGATGCAAATTCCATCTGTTTCACCCCGGGCTTTCCTCTGAGAGGTCCAAATATATTCTGGGTGCTCTTAATTGAATTCAGTCATGTAGTCCTATTATTCTAAGAAATCAAAACCTCGGCCTCATAATTGAGTTTCTGTGCCTGAAATATTAGAAGGCCTCATGAGATGTTGGTGAAGTATGACAGCTCACAGTTTTCTTTGCTCCATCCTCTATACTTAAAGTGCAGTGGATACTACTCAGTAGGGCTCTCAGGCTAATTCAAAGTCATGTTGTTGATTTCATGTGTGAGCACTGACTACTCATTTGATTAGGGATGATATTGTGTACCATATGTTCATAAATGCCAGAAGTTGTTAAGCCTGCAGGCAAGCTGACTGTGTTGGTGCTTTTATGAAGGCATTTCTGGCGTGTTTAAAAGCATTCAGTAACATAGTGGTGACTTCAAAGCAGCAACAGCATGAAGATATATAAGTGTGTAAGAATCACAAAGTCAGGTGATGGTATTGTGAGCAAAAATGTCAGTGAAGTGAAGACAGTTTGAAAACACTCTGTGAGTTTTTCGAGCACTTTGTGTTGGGAGCTATTGCATAAGATTTGTGCAGCAGGCCGGCGTCATGTTTGCAAGCATTGGGGGTGAGAGTAGTGCCTTAGCTGAGCCAAAGCTATTACTGTCCCAGGCACTGTCAACCCACAGTGAGTATGTATAGCTCTTTGGCAGGCTCTTAACAGGGTAACTCTTCATCAAAGTTGCATGAAGATGCTGAGAGAATTACAAAAGGGGAAAAGACGAAGGTGTCTCTAAATAATGGGGGAAGGAGAAAAGTGGGCCCTAAGCTGTTTTTTAAATGCAAAGTGGAGGACCGGCAATTCTCTTTTCATACTCTGCCTCTCTTTACCACAGTTGAGTCCATTGTTGTTGCATTAAAAGCCTTTTTTTCTCTTTCTTTTTTGTGGTTTTGTCATTCTGACAAAAAAAGAGAAAAAAGTAAAAGAAAAAACCCCACAACTAGCCACACAAATAACACTGGTGGGAACTGTGTGACGCAAATCCATAAAACTCTCCAGCTTTTCACTTGCTTTTTTAAGATATCTATTATTTTGTCCAGAAGGATGGCAGCCAGCTTGTTTTTTTTTCCTCCATCATCCAACAATTTGCAGCAATTTGCAAGAACCACAAAAATACCTCTATAACCAAAAATCTGACCCTTCTCTTAAATATCTATCTGTGCAAAAAGCCAAATAAAAGTTTTCAAAATTCAGATACATGAAGAAAAAAAATACCTGGGAAAAGACATCATCTCATTCTTCATGTGTGTTTTCACAGACATGACTGATGTGTCGACGTTTTGTTGTTTCCAAGGACACATATTTGCTTTTAAAGGATTCTGACAGATTTTGGTTTCTCCTACAATAAAGTGGATATATATTACAGTTCTTGGCATGTTAATAATCCAGCTAGTCATTTTGATGTATGGTTATTGGTGTCTGTAGGTAGTAGCAACTATTGTCCCTGTTACAGACTGCAACTTAGTGTATGTGATAAAATGCAAATAATAAAGCTGACTTTAGAGAGGTTTTGACTTTGGCTTAAATTCTATGAATTTTCTCAAATGCTTTCCAATGCTGTTAACGTTAATGTAGGAATCAGGTTTTCAAAAAGGAAAATGTGTGCATGAAGAAACAAACAAACAAAAACCCCAAAACGAAACAATATAACTCATTCTGTTCTTCCCCATTTTAAGGAGAATGGGCTACAGCTAAATTTCAGACTGCAGGACCTTCTGCTATTCCTGGTAACTGTTAGAGTTTGCCCCCTCCTACTTCTGTGTCAACACAGCTGAAACAAGAGACATTTTTTTAGTTCTTAGAACTCCATTTTTATTATTCCCTTAGAGTAATTACTTTCCCATCATAAGCATGACATAGGTGTACTGTGACCAGTCCAAAATTAGCAATGTACACTGCAGCTTTTAGCATTTTCATTAACACTGGAACAAAACACAGGGAAATGAATCAAGGGAAGGCTTTACTGAGCCTGTAGCCAATGAGAGAAGCACTATGCATGTGATTTTTCACTCATCAGAAAAATATTAGCTTGCAATTCCTTTCAGCTTGCATATTTTAAACCAAAGCCACAGTGAAGCAACACAGAGAGAAAATGAAAGCAGGATTGGAAGAAAGTAAAACATGAGGTGACATTGAATTATCAGCAACTGGCTGGCTGTTATATCTGATCAGAGTTCCTATTAGCAGCTCAAATGCAAAAAAGAAAAAAAAAGAAGGTATTCAACTCCTGAAGGACCCCCCCCTTATGGGTATTTGTGCCCACCAAAATTCTTTGGTCTGGACTAAAGTGTTTTAAGATGCTGACTGATATGCTGGCTCTCTAAGCCATTATGTGCTGTTGTGATGAGCCGTTCTTATGCTGACTGTTAAGACCGAAAACAAAGCAGTTCACTGGGATTTGAGACAACTCTGTTTTTCTTCATTTTTATGTGTTTTTCCTCTGTGTGCTGTTTCAAAGAGTGGCAGCTTATACACTGGAAATCGTTTGTCCTATGGTGATAATTTTATGTTCTGGACTGATGATTTGTTCAGGTGCACATGATACACTGACTATAATGACTGTATAAATAAATGTTTTTAGTGATTGACCTTGATAGTCATAAAAAGCGTTATAGGCAGAACATCTTAACTATTTTTGCTTTGCTTTAAAGAGAATACATGCAGTCAGCCAACTGTGAACGGGAGCAGTGGAGCAGTCTTGGCAGTGAAACCATACAGTGTGGCCAATCCCTCTTTAGTTTCACTGCAATCTTAGAACAAACTGACTCATTTGACATTGGCTGATCTCATGCTGTGCAGCCTCCTTTAACCACACACACAATACAGGCTGACTGAGAGGTTGACCTCTCATTGCGACCCTGTGGCCAGCTCAGACTCTGTGCAGTCAGTGGGGTGTATAGACTCAGCACCTGGCCAGACAGAGTGTTCCCCTCGGCTTTGTTAATGGAGCCGTTGCTGTCTGTGACTGGGACTAGAGGCGAGCATTAGGAGAAAAGGATGCCTACCCTATTGTGATTAAGAGGTGTGCTTGCACACGCTGTGATCCGGTGGCCCGGGAAACTGTAATTCACACTAATGGAGAAAATGTCCTGGACACTGCTGCTGCTGCTTCAGTGGCCTCAGAGACAGTTACTGAGAGAGGGAAGAACAAAAAAGAACAGGTTGCAAGGGAACTCGTGAGCATAGGTGGACAAAGAAAAGGAAATGTGAAGGAGGCAAAGAAGAGGGGGAAGGTGAGAAGACAGGGCCGGTTGTGTAAATGACAAATGGATTTAAAGAGGATCACGTGGAAGATGATGATGTGTGAGATGAAATGAAGTGAAAAGAAGATGTGTTAGTATGTTCAGGAGTGTGAGGAAAGGGACAGTTTTTTATCAATTGCTATGACTTATAGCAACGATAATGTGAAAACACTGTTAGTTTTGAATAATGATGAACTCAGAAAAAAGCTTTGTCTGCAAACAGAAGTTTTTTATTTACTGCTTAGTGTCCAGCTAATTTTTAGCCTCCCATAAAGATAATTTTGTTACAGAGATTTGCAGAAGGAATGCTTTTGCATCAGTGACTTTGCTTTTTTTCTTTGTGCTACTTATAATTTGCCCTTTCACCCTGAAAAACTGTAATAAGAAGGAATTCTTCACAAGCGCTCATACGTGACAACCAAGGAGTGACATTCGTCTCACTTTTACCATAAAACTTGTGCATCGTGTTTGGATAACCTATGAACCAATGCAACTAATGGTGTTTTTCCTTGGAATGACATTCCTATCTGACTCATCAAGTGTCACATGTAGCACCAACATTAGTGAAAATTCACTTTTTTATTTGCCTCTTATGTGATAATAACTGCAGAGAAAAAAATAAAACAAAGGTGATCTAAGGAGCTTGGAGAGAGGCTTCATCAGTTCCTGAGGTCACCGGTGCCCAGAAGGGAAGAAGCCTCTTGGATGCGAGGTGAAACATCTTCACAAAATTTAAAGAAGTCCAGTCGTTTTCTTTCTACGCTCCTTAGACTGCCATGACTGGATGACTGAGAACCTACACAGACAAGCAAAGGCCTGCTTCCTGTGGGGTTATAAAGTATGCGTGTTAACCTTTGGGCTTCCAAGGTGCGGCCTTATGT